GCAGTACACTGCATCATGTTTTATAACCCATGGTAGCTCCATAGAAAAGCTTTATAGAATATGCAAAGTACTACAAAGTGACTATCATTTTGATGTCATCATTTATTTTACAATAAATCATGACATCAAAGTCAGCCATAAAAAACCGCAGCATTATTTATTTAAATTAATCTTTTTTTCATTACCCTTTAAAACTAATACACAATAGCCGACTCGATGTCTACAGGCATTCTCTTCTAGTGTGGACTCTTCCATAAAAGTGCGGTCCTTCCCCAGACAAGCCGACCAGTTCGTGCTGCAGCCTTAATACAACCAAGCCAGCCAACATGTGTGGCTCTAAAGCAGAAAAATGTTAATGATATAAATGAGCATTATCAATCATTATGATTAGAAAGCTGTTTCATGAAACTAAGCTATGATGCTATATTAGTGTTAAAGGAGCGGAGACAATCCTCAATTTTTGAGGTTTTTCTTGTACCTCCTACCATATTGTTGCGCGCCACGATTAATACATAGTACATGTCGACACTGGTTACAACTAGCGCCCTCTAGTATCAAGTTTTTTTTTATAGGATAGGGTGACAAACGAGCACACAGTCCACTTAATGGTAAGTGGTTGCTGTGGCCCATAGACATCTACATTTATCCTCGTTTGCGAATCAAAATGCAGATGCGTTGTCACCCGTGAGGACTAAGATGGAATGCCTCTTTTCCAGTAAAAAAGGTCTCCGGTTCTCTACACTCACCATACGAAACACAGCAGTGTCAAGCTGCTATTTTACGATGGTATTCTGTGAGAGCGTGGTCCTTCCCCGGTCGAGCCGACCCATTCGTGCTACAACTATACTACTAATATAGCTGCAGCATGGCTCTACCACGTATAGCAGAACTAAAGAGACATTCTAGACATTTCCATGGAAGAACTTTCTAGAACTATCGACATCTAGTCAATCGGGACCGATATGTACTCGAACATTCTAGAAGTTTCTATAGTAGAAGGTTCTGGAAACTACCTGCACCTGCGGTATAGACCGCGACCGGGCAGTATTAAATTGGCGATACAAGCGAATACTTCGAAGCGATACAATTGCGAACTAAAGTGATCTGTAGTACAATTGTTTTGTTATTAGTGTGGTTATAAGTTGTAATTAGTGTTTTTTTTAATTAAAGTGTCAATTTTGGCAATTCACTCGGCAGTTTTAATTGTCTCGAACCCCAAGCTCGTAACAATATATATCGCTTGTACTCAAGAGTGATAGTATAGACTGCATACGAAAGCTTCCGTTGTCGACGTGGTCATAATCCACCAGCAATCTCACCAGTGCTATTGTGTAACTCTGGCGGGAATCATTGTTGGCTTTTAACATAAAATGGATCCGTATCTATGGATTATAATTAGTGTAGATTACAGGCCGTTCCGATGTCTTTTTTATTATGAATTATAATAATATTTAATTTCATCATCATTTTCTGAAAAATCTACTCAAAGCTTATTACTTGGAGCTCTCATATTTCCTATCATACTTCCTGTCCTTTATTATTATATATCATCAACTGTCATGATCTTGTTTTATTTATTTTTTCTTCTAATTTTATTAATTTTTTATTGTCTAATTTACGTAAGCACAACACCTTTCCTATTCACCATTAATTACAAAAAACCGTTCTTTGCATAAAAAGGTTGTCTGAAAGAAATCGTTTCCAGACCGATAAGCTTGCCTATTAAACCTAACCTGTTTAAACCTGTTTTTGTTTAAATATGTATTGGTGTATAATAAAGAAAATATTAATTGATTGATATTTTATTTCGGGTTACAGTCCGTACGGATAAAGTATGGGATTAGAAATGGCGGCTCCGTACCATCGAGCCCGTACCGTCAACATGCACAGCATAAAAGTACCAATAGCAAAAAATCCACTAATAACGATAATATATCGTTACAACGTTATACGGTTAATTCGAAATTTCATGTGAATGGGAAATTATTTCAAAATAATTGTATATGCAAGTAGGTAGGTACATTAATTTTAAAATAACATTTAGAACTAGCGACTCGCCTGGATGGGATCTATTAATGTAGCGTTATTTAGACTTAAGATAATCATTAAATGCCATTTATTTCAGCTTATCAATATTTCTATTTAAATAAAGTCTCTAAATTTTTCGGATATAATTTAGTATAGATTGCTGAAGCTTTATTACTATCGGTTCAGCCATTCTGAAGATTAGCTCAGACAGACAGCCAAACGAAAATTTAAAAAATGGTTCACGTCTCAATAACGTAAATATTTATACAAAAATATTAACAAACAAAATCAACAATAATTATGAAGAAAATTATTGTTGAGTTTGTTTTGTTTTGTTATCATAGATTCTAATGATAAGTTAGACTGAAGTTATGGAACGCACGAAAAACGCATAGGTATCACAACGTATTTTTTTTTTGCTGTCTTTACCGGCGGGTGTGAGAATACATAGCCACAGTGTACGAGCGAGAGTTGAATAGAGGCGACGCCATTTTACATCCCATTCTTTAACCGCACAAGTACATATAGTACCATGTACTTGTTGTAAATTTCAAAGTACGCTAGCAACTCAGTTATTAATTGCCAATTTACTACATGCTCAGCGGTGAATGCATTGGGGACTGTGCGGGGTCTCTCCCTTTCCCAAAAATCTTCTCATCATCATCATCATCATTACAGCCCTTCACAAGTCCACTGCTGAACATAGGCCTCCCCCAAAGAATGCCACAAAGCACGGTCCTGAGCCACCTGCATCCATCGACTTCCTGCATGTCTTACCAGGTCGTCACTGCATCTCGTGGGGGACGCCCTACACTTCGCCTACCGGTACGAGGCTGCCACTCGAGAACATTTCTTCCCCATCGGTTGTCGGTTCTTCGAGCTATATGGCCGGCCCACTGCCACTTCAGCTTACTAATCCGTTGGGCTATGTCGGTTACTCTGGTTCTACTGCGGATATCCTCATTTCTAAGTTTATCACGCAGAGAAACTCCGAGCATAGCCCTCTCCATAGCTCGCTGAGCGACCTTGAGCTTCCTCATACGGCCAGCAGTGAAGGACCACGTCTCAGTTCCGTAAGTCATCACTGGCAACACGTACTGGTTGTACAATTTCGTTTTCAGGTTCTTCTTCTCAGAAAGAAAGAATCCCTCTCTCTCAGAATGAGAAGGGCTATGCCCAGGAGTGACATGTGTATAGGCTGAAAGATTACTTTACTACTTTTACACAATATTGAAAAAAAAAGCAAAGTAAAAGTAAAACATTTTGTGATTCAATAAAGAAATAAATGAGTCAGCGCAAAGTAGCCTAAAATTGTATAGCGCCAAAACTAGTTCTATAAACAATGAGTATTACAAAAATAACCCACTTGCTGGTACCAAAGAATATGCAATGAAGAAATTAAACACATAAGATAAATTAATTTAGTTTAAACATTTATCCACCAAAACCAAAACAATAAGACAAAAACTAATGTTAATTAACATTTAGATTAAAAATGACATCTAATAATTTGTTGGTTAAACACAAGATAGATTCTTATTTATAAATCTTTAAAAAAAAACTTTACATATAAATTAAGAACATTTAAACAAAGTTATATACCAGTATCCAGTATACCATCATGTCATGCATCATTACTAGAACAAAACTACCAGATAAAAATCAATAAGTATATGAAAACTACTCAACAAAGTTTTTAAAATTAATTATTCGTAGGGTATTTGACAAGTCATATTTTTTTACATAATATATATGGAAATGAGGTGATCGCTGCCAAGCTATTTCTAATTTGTTGTGTTGTTAATTTGTGTAACATCATGATTGTAAGCTGTTATTTAAAAAAAAAAGTCCCACTGGGTATCTTGCTGGTTCTTCCCAGGACAGAGGTTTTTTCCGAACCAGTGGTAATCAAACAAAAGAGTGACTTTCAATAAGTATTATTTATAATCTATATTGAATTAAAAAGTTTCTGTTTCTGTTTCATATGTGTGCAAAAATATAAGCAAAAAAAATAATATTTGACGGGGAATATTACTAGAAAAGAACCAATAATATATATTATTTAAATATGTTCATGTTATGAAAAGTAAAGAACTTTACACATAATTCTGTACTTTTATATTCTCTTTTAAATATGTACATTGTTCTTGTCTTCCTAATAACGACAAAATAAAAAACTGCAGTTGCCAACCTGGTTGCCAAATGTGGCAACTGTGGCAAATATCCCCCTTTGGAGGCAATCTATAAGGGAGGCCAATGCCAAATCAGCAGTGGATTTTAATAAACTGTAACAGTATAAAAATTACATATCAAAATTACATATTTTCTTTTGTCTTTCATAGTATAAAGATAGAAAGTATAGAACATGTAAAACTATAAATTTTTTATTGGCACATTAATAGACTGATAACAGATTTATGATGGTAGAGGAAGCCATTTACAGATTATTTCAAATTGCCGCAATGCACTTTACCTGATAGCACAGTGACTCGGTTTCTTTGCATTATAATTATACTTAATAACTTAATTATTTTTGGCTCGAAGTTCCTTATCGGACGGTACGGGTTTGGCGGCTGGGAGGTAGGCGACAAAAAGTGTAAGATGTTTTCGTCACTACCCCCTGTATCATAGGTAGACAGCCTTGGAGGCGAAATAAGGAAGTGAGATGGAATACTATCCATCTCCCTCACACTTTTTCTTATCTTGCAATGAAAGAAATATTATTTTATTTCAAATGACGCTTCATTTTAATAGACGCTAGCTAGTGATTCATTTATTTGTATTTGTTTATCAATAATATAATACCTACGTTTATCAATAATAATATACTACGCAAGGAAACTTCGTTCCAATCGAGTGTTCCACGACACTCACATATTTTTTATAACTTTGTACAAAACATGTCAAATACCCCAACTTTTTCTATATGTTTATCTACAACATAAAGAATACAATAAGTTTTTTTAGCTTACCGCTGGCCTCAGCCTGTTGTCATAGGCCTGCAAGACACAATTTATCTCTTATTTGCCAATGCTGTTTATTTAAGTGGATATATAATATTAAAGTCTTGTTTGTGCTTATGTTTTAAAAATAATATTTGTGTTTATATTATAATCGCCAAAACAAAGTAGAAAAATACCTCAGCTAAGTAGGAATTTAACAAATATAAAAATTGTAAACTCATTAGTATTTTTAAGAGATAATAACACATTGTCGAGTGTGATAAATCAATTAAGTAAATAAATTGGTAGCTACAGTAGTAGTAGTAGTAATAATTAAAGGTAAGCTATATTTACCAACTGAGATTTTTGTTATCAGATATAAAATTACCATTCATTAAAAAAATATTTAAATGATATGAAATCAAATAAAATATAACTTACTGGTTTTTTTTTTCATTCGATATGTAATTTAAATAATATTAATAAATACTTTTATTTATGATTTATAAACTGTTCATATCTTGGTACTAGTTGACAGTATAAGAGCAAGCTTAATTTACATATTTATTTTATTTTATCAATGAAATAATGTAACACTTCCAAAACAATAGCATTCATCTGTTGTATGTTGGCTTATGAGGGTAGGTAATAAAATATATTTATTAAACAATTGGTAAAAATTACATAATATAAAACTATCAATGAAGGATAAAAATAGCAAAAAATAGATTGTGTAATATTTTACTAATTATTTTAATAATTGGTTGAACATAAATATATTATTACAACAACAAACAATATATATTCAAATATATATTCTGCCTCTTATATTTATAAAATATAAGTTTCTTCATGATATCATGTATTATATTATGCCTTTAGGTTTTTTATTATTTTAACCTTAACTTTTATATATGTAATATATTATAAGAATTAGAACTGGGTAAAATTGAAGTGTACGGAGTTAATAGCAAGTATGAAGTGACCTCTAAAGTTGTGACAAGGTCAAAAAGATAAATAAAACGACGATAATATAATATTGACAGAAATATGATAGCACTAGCCGAGGTTCACATACATAGCTCCTTAGCTCAGATAATAATTCTCATTACCTTTTTATCTGCTGCTCTGCTATCAGACATTGTTATTTAAGTTATAAAACTAATAAGATTAATGCACAAATTACAGAATACCGCCGAAAAACACTAAACGTAAACGCTTGTTACTTATGTTTCACTTTGAATTGACAATCAGGTGTCAGACTCAGTCTGTCAAATTGACGTTTTTGAGTAAAATTGCGTTTTGAATTTATTTATTTATCATTAACTTATGTTAATAAAGAAAACTAAAACTTAAAACTTATATTATCATACAATCCTACTCCCAGCGGTATGAATGCACCGAATGCATAGAATTATTACGAGTGATAATTCTATGGCTGAATGGTTATGGATACTTAGCCGCTGAACAAAAGAGGAACCAGTCCTCTTATCACCAACGGTGACGACAAGTTGATGATATAGTTCTTTTAGGAACTTCACCACACGTGGATTCCACGAACTGATAATCCCTACAACAAATGGCACAAATATGTAGTCATCTCTCAGATTCTAATACTTGGGCTTCTTAGTTCAGCCACCTTTAATGCCACCCCGGCTCTAAACGAAGTACCTCTGAGATGAGAGGTTAATTCTCTCCCAAGGAAGCAAAGAAAAACCGTCGGTCTCCTGCCATCGTTTCTAAATATTCCACTCTAAAACCAAAAAAAATCATTTAGAAGACAAGAACCCTTCGGATAACATTGTTTAAAAACCCGTGACTCGGCAATCTACAAGCACTTTTCTTACATGAAAGACCATAGAGTGCAAACTTGTCGACGGCGCTACCACAGGGGCACTAATGAGGTTGACAGATTGCCGCACCTAGTAGGATTCATACGGTTATGCGCAAGTCATAGTAATCTGTGGCGCAAGTATTTCCCATCAAGTAATGTGCCGAAATTACTTGATCATATAGCTAAAGCGTATAATCAGTAACTAGATTCCTTAGTTGAAACTGCTAGAAGGCGGTCCTGATTTTGATCACTATAGATATTATTAAACAAATATTTCTGCACACTCCATACCAACGGAATACTTCAGTGTTTTTGTTAATTAACTTCCAGTGGAACATTGTCGCTTGGACAGAGTGTTTGTCATGTCTGCTTTACCTCTGCAGCATCAACTTTATTATTGATTTCTAAAAATATGTATTTGGTGATGACCTTATACCTACACCATATTAGAACAATAAAAAAAACTAAAAATATAACATAGCCTCACTCGACGCGGCACCAAGAATGATGACAAATGATGTCCATAGCCAGAGGATATTCCTATGGCTATGGACAAGCTTTCGCCACCTAGTAATGTGCTAAAATGACTTGATGGTAAAATGCTGAATTTCCCTAATAAACAGCAAGAAGGCGGTACTGATCTTGGTCTTTGAGAAAATTTTGAAACAAATTTTCGTGCCCACGGAATATCCTACGCTTTCTTTTGTTCAGTTGCCAGTGGTTCATTCTTGCTGAGACAGAAATTGTTTCTCATGTCTGCCTTATCTTCGCTGTAAAAGGACAGTTTAACTTAGACTTTCGTCGCCTTCGGTTACATAAATCACTGTCACTGACACTATGTACAGAAGAAAGAAAGACTGCCAATGCAATACTAGAAGGCAATTTTTCAACGGACTTCAAAAATAGTAGGAGGTTCTCAATTCGACAGTATTTTTTCGTACGTGTGTTACCTCAGGTGAACCGATTTTTATGATTCTTATTTGATGATTGTTAATTTGAAAACTGATGCTTCTTATGTAGTTCCATATAAACCAGTAGTTTTTGAGTTATCCTAAATAATGCGCATTTGATTGATTTCGACTACATCGATGATGTTCTCATTTTATTAATATTAAAGTCGGTTCCACAAAAATTTTAATTTTACCACATGTTATAGAATACGGATGACAAACGAACACATTGGGATGGTTCCTTGTATAACATTTTGTTCGGAACAAAAAATAAATGATAACGTAATGTAAAAACGTAAAAAGCGGTTTATTCCGCAGGAAGCTAAATGAATGCCACGTGCCACGACAACTTTAAACCTATAAGGTATTTTTGTTTCGTATTGCAGGGTCAAAAATGGGAAAATACGGTTTAAAATGGTTAAAAACGTTTTATTGAACAAGAACGATTTAAAATTTCGTTGTCTTCATAAACGTTTTCATTATGATTCCGTTCGAACATAAATGAAACAATTAAGTTTTTAGGTAACTATTTAAGGCGAAAACGTTTCGAAAAATATACCGTTATCCGAGCCCTGGATAGAATACCTCATTACCTGTAAAAAGGGTATCCGGTTCTCAACACTCAATATATTTTACTCTGGTATTCTGTGGGAGCGTGATCCTTCCGCGTTCGAGACAGCCTATTCGTGAAACCACAATATAGCTGTAGCATAGCTGTACTATGTACAGAAGTTTTTTCCTCTAAAACTTGTTATAGTTGCATATATATTCCACTCCTGAGCGTGGGTGCTCAGGCTGCCCCGCGTATTCTGGGGGGGGGGCAAAATTCCGCTCAACACAATAACTGCTCGGGGCAAACTGAGCAACAAGACCAAGGCGACCTCTGCCACGCTATCCGTGAATTTCTGCAACATCAGGGGACTTCACTCGAACCTAAACGCCGTCCACTACCATCTTGAGACGGCGAAGCCGGCCTTGCTCTTTCTGACCGAGACGCAGGTGTCCTCTCCGGCTGATACTTCGTATCTCTCCTACCCGGGGTACAAATTGCAGCACTCCTTTGTGCCTCGGGCTGGAGTTTGCGTGTATGTCAGAGAGGACATCTGTTCTCGACGCCTCGGCAGTCTTGAAGGTTCGGACCTGTCCATCCTTTGGCTACGCGTAGACAGCGACGACCATCCGCGCGTCTACGTGTGCCTCTATAGGTCCCATAGCGGTAATGCCGAAACAGACCGACTCATCGACCACGTCCAAATGGCTACAGATTCCTTGCTACAACAGGTCCCATCCGCAGAGATCGTGATCCTTGGCGATTTTAACGCCCACCACGCCGAATGGCTCGGTTCACGTTTAACCGATCATGCGGGGAGATCTGTTTATGACTTTGCCTTGGCATATGGTCTGACACAACTGGTTACATCGCCTACGCGGATTCCAGATGTTGAGGATCATACACCTTCCCTGTTGGACCTTCTGCTGACCTCTCATCCGGACGGATATCAGGTTTCCGTCGATGCCCCTCTTGGCTCTTCGGACCATTGTCTGATCCGGAGTGTGGTGCCACTCACGCTCCCCTCGCGGTTGCGTTCTGCAGGTTGCCGCCGTGTTTGGCATTACAGGTCGGCGGATTGGGACGGAATGCGGTCTTTCTTTGCTTCCTACCCATGGGGGCGGGTTTGCTTCTCGCCGGACGATCCCAGCGCTGTTGCTGACTCTGTCACTGATGTGGTGCTACAGGGAATGGAACTATTTATTCCATCATCTGTGGTACCCATCGGAGGCAGATCTCAGCCTTGGTTTGGTCGCTCCTGTAATACTGCATTACGCAGTAAGCAGGAGTTTTATCAAGCCTGGGCTGCGGCTTCGGTGACTCGGGATGTAAACACGAGCACGCTCAAAAAGAAGTATAACTTCGCCTCCAGGTCCTTCAAAAGAGTTATTGCCAAGGCAAAGTCAGAGCACATAGGCAGAATTGGCGAGAAACTAGTACGCCTTCCTTCGGGAACCCGTGCATTCTGGTCTCTCGCCAAGGCTGTCCAAGGGAATTTCTGTAAGCCATCACTACCATCTCTGCACAGGGAGGACGACTCACTGGCCCACGACGCAAAAGAGAAGGCCGACCTTTTAGGCTCCCTTTTTGCGTCCAACTCGACTGTTGATGACGGGGGGAACACACCGCCGACCATCCCGCGGTGTGAGTGCTCCATGCCGGATGTGCGGTTCTCACAGCGCTCGGTTCGTAGAGCACTCCTCTCCCTTGACATCCACAAGTCGAGTGGGCCTGACGGTATCCCCCCAATTGTGCTGAGGACGTGTGCTCCGGAGTTGGCACCGGTTCTAACGCGTCTTTTCCGGTACTCCTACTCCCTAGGCGTAGTCCCGAAATCATGGAAGACAGCTTTTGTCCACCCGATCCCTAAAAAAGGCGACCGCTCAGACCCGTCCAACTACGGGCCTATCGCCATCACCCCCTTGTTCTCCAAAATAATGGAATCCGTTGTAAACTGCCACCTCATGCGGTACCTTGAGGATCACCAGCTGATTAGTGACCGCCAGTACGGTTTTCGTCGAGGTCGATCAGCTGGTGATCTTCTGGTCTACTTAACTCATAGATGGGCGTTGGCAGTAGAGTCCAAGGGGGAGGCATTGGCCGTTAGTTTGGACATTGCGAAGGCCTTCGATCGGGTTTGGCACAAAGCGCTTCTTTCGAAGCTCCCTTCCTATGGGCTTCCCGAGAAATTATGCAATTGGATCACCAGCTTTCTTGGAGATCGGAGCATCAAGGTCGTTGTAGACGGTGCATGCTCCGACTACAAGCCTATTAACGCTGGTGTTCCACAAGGCTGCGTGCTATCACCAACGCTGTTTCTTCTGCATATCAATGATATGTTGCTAACTGGTAACATTCATTGCTATGCGGATGACAGCACTGGTGATGCTCTCTACACCGGCCGTGCCAATATTTCTCGGGAAAACGTCACCGAGTACCGGAACAAACTTGTGTCTGAAGTCGAGTCTTTGCTGGACAAAGTCTCGGATTGGGGGCGACTAAATCTAGTCTAGTTTAATCCTCAGAAGACACAAGTTTGCGCGTTTACCGCTAAAAAGAACTCCTTTGTCGTATCTCCTCAGTTTCAAGGTACTCCCCTAGTTACCTCAGCCAGTATCGGAATCCTTGGCGTCGACATATCGAGTAGCGTGCAGTTTCGTGGTCACTTGGAAGAAAAGGCCAAATTGGCCTCTAAAAAGCTTGGCGTGCTCAGCAGAGCGGGACAGTATTTCATGCCGGCACATCGCCTGCAACTTTACAAGGCGCAGGTTCGGCCTCACATGGAATACTGTTCCCATCTCTGGGCTG